GTGTGTGTGTGTGTGTGTGTGTGTGTGTGTGTGTGTGTGTGTGTACTCACAGCTTTAGCAAACACTCCCATGAGTTCAGGGAACTGGTGTGTGAGCAGGGCCAGCATGGCGGTGAAGGAGCAGAGGCCGGCGGTGAAGAGGATGAAGAAGGGCAGCTCCTTCTTGGGGTAAACTGACACCTCATGAAACACTGCTTCCACGTGGGACAGACACAAAGAGCACAATGTTAGCTACAAATGCCACAGCTCTATCTGTCCTCTACTTTATTCTACCAGAACCACTCAGGAACCAGTTTTTAATCTAAACCCAGAACAACAGAAAGCAGGGACACGTCTTTTAACTAACAGGCTTTTGTTTTGATGACAAAGAATGGTCAGGAAATATCAGACTCTCTAACGTTTCAGCTTTTAGCACTAACAAGGTTGGGTGGTATTACAGTGAAATATACTGGGCTCTAAAAATATCAACCACACTGATTAAATACCATCTTTAAAAAGTTTGCTGTAAATTTACTCCCAGATTTTTGTGAATACAATGAAATACTTGTTTCCCTCACTTCCTATAATATATGATGCACTGAGTGAGTCTGCTGTTCTGTTGTGGTGTTTCAGAATTCAAACTCTAACTTTTCACCCTCTATAAAGAGCCCTGGACTCCAGACAGGATGCTGAACAATAATGTATAAAAGATCTGCAAGACTATGAGTGTTGCTCTAGAATAAATATTATAGATCATTATTATTATTATATTCATATAATAAAGTTCATGAAGAGTCAACAGAAACCATCTCACCAGGCCTGAGTACCTTTAGGTCAAAACAAAACCTGACTTCTTTCATTTATCTCTTATAAATATAAAACTTCATATCTAGTTCCTGTAACAATGAACTCAACTAATGACTTGATTAAACTGTCTCCACCTCTTTTTTTTGTGTTGACAACTTGTGTATTTTAGAACATGTCTTACTGGGTAGCAGCTCTCTGTCGGCGGTCTCTGTGCAGATGGGGTAGGGGTAGAACAGGTGACCCTTCTCCAGAGGATATGGAATCATTCTGAATGCTGCAAAATACACAGAGACCACCAATGAGCCACAGTCTTCAGTTTGAACTAAAGCTGCTAATGTGCTGTATAAAAACCCGATGTTTACATACACTGCATACAGAGATACAAAACCTTCATGTTCCTCACTGACATCAAATGAGACTAAATGTTTCCTTTTTAAGTCAGTTATGAAGTGTTGCTCCTACATTACAGGCAGTTGTCAGCCAAACCAGGGAAATAAAAAGTCAGATTACATTTTACAAATGTTAGAGATGTCCTGTCTGATGAAACTAAAATTCAACTGTTCATTTAGAGCGGAAAGGGGCTTGCACCATCTGAACAGTGAAGTACGGAGGTGGCAGTGTTATGATGTGGGCTGTTTGACTGCAGGAGGGACTGGTGACCTTCATCAGCCAGGAAGTTAGACTTTGATAAAATGGTTCTTTAAAAGGATAAAGACCCTCAGCAGACAGACAGATCAGATACGAGGCTTCAGGACAACAGGACAACGTTCTGAAGTGACCATCACACAGTCCTGGGTCACACTGGCTACGTTCACACTGCAGGTCTTAATGCTCAGTTCCGATTTTCTGAAAAAATCCGATCTTTTTGTGTGAACGTTCACATTACATTTTAAATGTGACCTGCATCAGACCCCTGTGCGAACGCTACACAGCACTGATGTGACACGCATGCGCAGTAAAAGACGTGACGTCTCATCAGCCGGCTTGTTTGTTTACAGAGCTAGCATGGATGCTACATTTTGCGCATCGAATCAGAAGTTGTTGTTTAATCAGAGCCGATTAAATAATTATCTGACTTGCTTCTTTAGTTCAGTGTTTATATCTGAACCTGCCTCTGACCGGGAT